CGTAATTGGAATGCAGAAGGATGAGGAGGTTCGATCTTCTGTTTGAATATTATTAGTATCAATATATATATAGATGTGGACAAATAATGAGTAAACATAATTTAGCCGTGTGGCAGTAAATTGTTGAGGCGGCCTCTGCTTCCTTCCCACATACCGAATGGGCTTTAGATAAACACTTGCTGCTTATAAAGTGACATCTATTTGTTAATTTGCATAAGACCTGCGCCCGGATAAAATGGCTTTCAGTTATTAATGTAAATATATCGACAACATGTGTCGGTGTCGGTGGTGTCGGGGAGAGCGAGCGCGCAGGTGAAACCATCGACTTCTTCGCTTTTGCCTGCCGTTTTCTGCGCTCCTCTTGTTGTTTATTCACTCGACCGTTTCGTTTTCTTCGATTCATTGCGCACTCCACCTTTTTTTCTTCTTTGTTTCTTTCTGATTTGTGCCCATACAGTACGCCGCGCACTATATGAGCCCACACACCGGAATTACTCAATCTCCCATTATCATTCGCACGCGATTATTACAACTACTTCAATTAATTGAAATTCCCAATAAAAAAAAAAGCAGAGAAAATACAATTTTCACTCATCAGCTTTTGTACGAATCAACAATTAATTTGCATGTTATATTTACGCGTCAACCTTTTAAATACTTAATTTAAGCAGTAATTGCTTATTATTACACACGTAACACATTTCAAATATAGACCTTAAGGTCAACTTTCTAAACAATTAGACAATGCACATTTAATTAACGTTTTAATTTAACAATTCATAAACAAAAATGATTCATTAACTTTGTACAAGTATAAATTTATACAAAATTTTCAACAGATTACTTAAAAACAAATCATTTCATAACTTGAAACTTGGGCAAAATTATTTTAAAAAAATTGCACAGAAATTAGTGACAAAAAATTCAATAAAACGTTTTAATTTAACAATTCATAAACAAAAATCATACATTAACTTTGTACAAGTATAAATTTGTACGAAATTTTCAACAAATTACTTAAAAACAAATCATTTCATAATTAGAAACTTGGGCAAAATTATTTTAAAAAAATTGCATAGAAATTAGTGACAAAAAATTCAATAAAACGTTTTAATTTAACAATTCATAAACAAAAATCATACATTAAGTTTGTATAAGTATAAATTTATACGAAATTTTCAACAAATTACTTAAAAACAAATCATTTCATAATTTGTAACTTGGGCAAAATTATTTTAAAAAAATTGCACAGAAATTAGTTACAAAAAATTCAAATCAAATTAAACAAAGAAAATTCAGTAAGGATTTTAAAGTGTTTTCAAGTTTAAAGAATAATCTAAATTATTTGATATAAACACTAAATTATGAGAAAATTATATTATCAGAAAGATTTCCTAGATAATCAATAACAAAACTAAATAATTAAAACTCAAGAGATTACAATGAAATTTAATGAGTTTTAAATTGTTTACATAGTTTTAGGAGTTATTTAATGATTTCTCAAAATAATTATATCATAAACATGTTTATTATACTTAATTGAAAATATTAATTAGAATTTGTTTGTTTGTTAAAAATATATAATTGAAAAATTTAACTATTTTAGTTCTTCATATTGACATAAGAATTATTTAGCTTAAATAAAGTGAATATGTGTTAATTTGAAATTGATTTAAATTGAATAATGAACATTTTTTGCTTTACTTGACTTCATATATTTTTAATTACAATATTAAATCTTCAGTTCAATTTAGCTGTATTAAAAAAAAACTAGATTGTCTTTTCAAGAAATTTATAAGAAAAATATATTATTCTATAAATATATTCCATTTACTTCATTGATTATTTCAAATATGTGAAATTCATAAAAAAAATCTAATTAAATTAATAAATTTTATAAAAAACACTGTAAAATTTTGTAAATTTCTATTGTATTTAGTTTAAATTTAAGTATTGATTTTCATGAATGGTTCAATTAATTATGTATATGTTTATAGGAAATATTGGATAAATGATGTGAGAAAGAGGTCAATTGTGATGAATTTGTGAAATATTTTCATCTTTTTCATACATCATATTTCGCGTGGCCCGAAATTAGAATAGCATTTGGATCGGATCCAGACAACAACGACACGCCGTTCCCCGTTCTAGCGATCGCCACGAGACCTGATTTTAACAGGTGAACAACACGAATTCCATCGCTTTGTACCGCCACTTCAACCTAATGATTTATACCGGGAGATCAGTTCCAACCCAGAGATCAACGGCAGCCAGCAAGCATACAAATCGCATTCTCCTCGTTCAAAGACACCCAATAAGTTATTTACATTTATTTTATTTTTTTTATTTATTAGGCAGCGATCGTTTCCCATTCGGACCCAATACTCTTTTAATCAAATTACATATAAAGGAATGCAATCGCCGAGGTGTTTCGCTCCGCGTCCCAAATACATAACTCTAAACGCAATAAATTATATAACAGCCGAACAGATAATATGCGGCCCAGAACGCCAACGCTCTCGCGCATTCGTGTCCTACGCACGTGGTCGGTCGCACATGCATGCACCTTCTCTCAGCCACTTCTTCATCACCTGCTTTCGTCCTCTGCACCAAAACAAAAAAACAAAAAGAAAAACAAGGACTCTTCTTAATCAACAGCAAAACGCGAATCTCGATCAAAGTGTTGTGCGAATCGATTATTCCCGCCTCGAGGCTTCTCTTCTCTTTTCCCTCATTTATTCACTCACATGCAACGTGTGTGTGTTTGTGTGAGCGAAATGATAAATAAACGTGTAAATTCCGGTCCTGCGGCTACCGCTCCATCCAGACGCGTTTATTTCTGAAAATTTTCAATCGACAATTCCGAATTGCCGATAGATCATTTTGAACGACGATTAGCTGTGCGCAAACAGCTTCGATGCTTTCACCTCCAACATTCCGCTTAATTGAAACAGCTTCTTTATTTCCCTTCGCAAATAACAGACATGTCATGTACACCTGTGTATCTCCGGTGCTTCTTTGATCGAAGCAATAAAAAAAGACTATTTCAATTGGATAATAATTCAATAATCTTTGTACTTCAAGAAAACCAATACTTCGACAAAATGCTTACATTAACAACTTTCAATTTACACAAATATTTAGTGTTTAGAACTTTTGAATAAATACTGTTAATTGGAACAGTTTTTGTTAAATTCAATACCAAAACTACAATAACAAAATAGAAATAATTGAAATTATCAAATGTGCAATATGTTAGTAAGAATTGTTAAATAACAAAGTTACAAAACAATTTAAGATATTTTTTTTTATAATACACCATAGAAATAATTTGATTTGAAGATTGCTTAAGACAATTCTCTTAATATCGGCTGTAAATTACGGTGTTTAATGTCTTTAAGTTGTAATAAATCCATCAAGAATAACTTTACTTTCAATTAAAGTGAACTGTAAACTATACAACGGTCTGGAACATGGTCAATTTCAAGAAAGAAATTAGGAACCGTTAGACGTGTTTTTCTGTGAAGATGGTTTTAAAATTATTTCAAGAAATAAACGTTTTCACAATGAATGAAACTGTTGGATTATAAATAAAAAGTATGACTATTAAGTATTTAAATAAGCTTATTTTAATTTCATTAAATATAATAAAAGTAAAATTAATTAGAATTGTATAAGCTGTTCACAATGACAAAATCTGAAAAGCTATTACTACTCGTGTTAATCTGAAAAAAAAAAGGTTGTTGGAATGCATTCATGAAAGAAAGTCTCTTGCTTTGAAGATATTGTATGGAATTAAGATGTGCATTGAGTAGCCTTAAGGGAAGGATACAAAAAAAAGGGTTATGATTGAGGCGAGCAATAAAGATTATGGAATTCCATGAATCCGGTAATAAAGTCCGTTTTTCGGATCATCCACCGAGAGTGTGACTTTCACCTCGATCTATGCTCTCGATGGATACGAGATGGAGTGCAGAAGAAGGAGAGTGAAAAGGACCGCTGAAGGGTGTCACGGAGTGCGCTCGTTCGTTCGTTCATTTCCTTTTCCCGGTCTTCGGCCCCGGAGGTTGTCTTCCACAAACCAGGAAATCCGAGAAATCCGGAGAACGAGAAGCCCATATGAGGCGATTTTTGATCAACCCAAGAGATTGCATCAATTATTATTATTTATCCGCGCTGAAATGTCACGATAATTCAGAGAGAACACAAAAAAAAGAAACGAATTGAAAAGAGTGTCCATTATATTTGCATGTCTATATACACTCTTTTGCCAATCTTCTGGTAATGAGGGCTCTTCACCGCGGAATACGCCGCCGGCCAAATTAATGGATTTCTAATCTCCTCTCATCCGAACGCAAGCAAATCACCGACCATTGGAATCGTTATTTTCTCCAAAAAAAAAAAAAAATGTACATTTTCCCAACTGCATTTCCAATACTCTACGAATTTATCTTGAGCGATGATTACTCGAAGAATACTAATGGGTACTACAAATTTCTAGATTACCACGAATATAATTTTAACCCAATTAAAGAACTCTTCCTCGTTGCTACTCCCATAACATCACAATGTAATCTAATCTTTGAACGCACACAACAGTAAATAAACGGAGCACTTATTTCTAAGTAGTTTACATTCAAAATCTCTTCAACAAACACTCACATTTTTATTTGTTTTTCTGTTTTCTTCAAACATACAAGAATAATAGTTAATCCAGGTTATTGCAAGAATCTAATCCACAATGAAGTTAGATGTTAATAATATTTATCAATAATCAATATTGATTGCATACAGAATAGAAACATAAAAAATCTATTCAACAAAAGACAACAATTATGTAATAGTTATCATTACATTGATGCAGACTACAATTATTACGCAAATTCAATCCATAATAAAGTTTATAGGAATTGAGATAAATGTAATCATTTTGTAATCAAAATGTGTTGACTTTCAAGAAGGAAAATCAAAATAATGATAGAGTATTAAGATTGTCTTACCTGAGTTGAGAGAGTCTTTGTCGTCGTCTTCGTCGCTGTCGATGTGGGGAATGGATCCGGCGAACTCGAACATGGGACTAGTGTGTTGAACCGTGGATGGTTGCTGAAGATGGACGAGATCTCCGTGGGGTTTGGGACTGCAGGGACAATGGCATGAGCAGACTGAGCACTCGGCATCATCCATTGGAGAGTACCTGAGGCACTGGGGACACGGGAAGGTGAGGTCATCCAAAGGCACTCTGTCCACGGCGTGCTCAATGGAGACCAGAAGGTTTTGCAGCAATTCCGGAAGATCCTCGACGTCCATCCGGGAGTCGTCCAGATCGATGGACGTTGACAAAGTGGACGTGCACATAGCGGTGGCCAGAACCCTGCTTTCAATATCCTCAAGACGTTTGCTCACCAGGACAAGCTCCACTCCACCTTCTTCCGACGTCGTCTTCAGACGGAGGTAGCAGTCCCTGTGGCGGATCTGGGTCGGACACAATGGACCTAGATGAACTATTATACCAGTCTCCCCCAGACACAACGGCCATCCCTTCGGAGAGCAAGCGCTGTCTCCACTCTCATCCTGCAACAATAATAAAAACAACAATAAAAAAACCAATTCAAACGTACAAGAAAATCGACTTCCAAAGTTTCAAAGCCAAAGGGTATATTTGCTCACGATATCATCAAGTTTCGCTTCGTAATTTTTTTTTGCGCTAATCCGAGTCAAGTTATTAATCATACCGGCATGACTTGATCCAGATCTTAATGACCGCAAACAGACACATCATACGTGTGTGTGTGTGTATGCTGTTGTTGCCCTCTTCCACGCGCACTTTCATTCATCTCCGAACATCATCGTCAGAGCTTACTTTCAATTGTGCTCTTAATTTTTCGGCGTATACATCAATTTTAATGTAGGTTATTTGGCGGTTTTGAAAACTCATCGATCCAGCCAGCAATTAAACGAAAGTCCAAGCGAGAGATAGAGACAGACACGACCGCCTTTTCAATTACACCGAATCAAAGAGTTGGCTGTTTGCGCGTGTCCGCATTGTCAAAGCATCAATCAAAATTAATCGCTAATTATCGTTCAATTAATAATCAATTTCACCGCGCGAAGGGCGGAGGCCCCTCGCATTTCGAAAACAAGACTACACAACTTTTGTTCCACATCTCGCGCGATTTATAGTAGAAATTCATGTTCATCTGTTTTGCTTCTCTTCTCCTTATTGTTTACTCTCTCTCTCTTCATCTATTTATCTCTTCAGATGTTCGTTTGTTTCTTGTGCCGCCTTAACCCTTCCTTCTGCTCATATTAAAATAGAAATCCGCAAATACCTTAACTTAATTTACACGTATGGACAGGCCAATCAATCAGCTGAAGGCATGCACTTTAAGAGCCAACACGAAAACCAGGGAATTGTTCGCTTCTTAAACTTTCATCTAATTCAATTATATATGGAGCTCAATACTTTACTATACACACCTCATTAAACCATAGTTTGCAATCATCCTACTCAATAATCAATATATTATTATTACAGTTATACCATTAATCCTTTTACAGGCAAAAACTATTATTGCCATTACTAATTGAATAACAACAAAAAATATAAACCATTATTTGTAATTATCCTATTGAAAACTCTATATTATTATTATACTATAAATCCATTTAAAGTCAAAACTATCATTATCATTATTAATTGAATAATGAATTTGAATCATTTTTTTGTCATCAATCTTATTATAATATAATATAAGAATATCAATGAATTTAACATAAAGTAGATGATAATGATACTAGTGTGATTGATGTTATTGTTGTTACATCATTGATGCGTTGAAGAAACAAAAAACTGTTATTATCTCTGCATTTTGAAGGATGAGAAATAGACGAAGAGTTGTATATATAAAAAAAGCGTCTGTTTTATATGTGTAATTTTGATGATAAATTGTTTCGGCGCGAGTATGATAAATCCATTCGTTGGTTGGTTGTGGGCCCCATTGTGAATATCCCGGCGCAACGGGAACTTAATATCGCATTAAAAGCATAAAGGAAAACGAAAACGCAAATGAAAATTGATACCGTCCATAAATCCAGCTTTCTACGTCCGAAGCGAGTGGGCAAAATCGCTGCGAGCTTCCAGGCTTCTTGCATCTCGCGCGATTCCCGCGGAATTTCGAAAATTAAACAGCACAGCCCACGGACGGACGATTCAAGACATTCGATGCCTCCGTAATTCCACTGCTCTCCTCGTACAACAAAGTACATCCATCAATTTCAAATACTTTAATTAGAACTTCACGAACCCATCCATAACAAATACACCGACGTTCCTCAAACCATACCTTTTTTTTTTACCTTATATAACCTGTACATTCGAATTACTTACAGCAATCATAATTTTCTTGTTATACATTGGTAATCTACAAGTAATAGTAGAAAATCAAAATCTTTTTAACTATAGCATTTAAATACAATTAACAAAACTCTTACAGTTCTCAAGATTTCGTTATTTTCTTTAGTTAAAATAATTAAAAATTAAATCTTAATAATTTAACTTTATAATTTCATTATTTTATGTTTGAAAACAATTAAACAAGACAATAATCAATAATCAATAAAAAAAAACTCTTACAGTTGTATCTTTGTTTCATAAATTTCACAGTTAAATCCGAAGAGTCTTAAGATTTCTTCATTTTGACAGTGATTAAGATAATGTAATTTCACAAACGTTCTCTGAGAGTTACCAGCCGGACTTCTTTGTCATGACATCTTTTAACGTGTATTAAATCTTTCAAAATCCGCCCATGAATCATCCCGGACAACGAGTTGGGAAATGTTTTAATTAATCACGTTTTCCCAATCGCTTTGATTTATCATCATCTTTCGTTAATTGTAGATGAAGAAACGAAATAAAAAGCGAACCAAAAAATCTTGAGGTCTCTGTTATTGCGGTCCCCCGGACATCTGTCAATTAGTCAAATTGGATCGAGAGCATTGGAGGTGGTCCATTACAAAATACAACCACCTCTTCATCATCATCATCATCATGATCATCGTCGTCCTCTTACTACTCCTTCTATGCTAATGGCAACAATGATGAATGCACCTCTCCTCCGATGTAGATTTATCGTGAAATTTTTGGTATAAATTTATTGAGATTTATGCGCGGCGATTGAATGAATGAATGACCGATCAAACGAATAATTGAATTAAAAAAAATATAAATAAATAAATAAATAAACGCCGCCAGGAACGGAGAGTAAGTATGTCGAAAGGTGGAGGAGCGGAGTGGTTGAGATTATTATTATACAGTTAAAAAGAACGAAGGTTTTTTTTTCTTGTTGCGCAAGAGTATCGAAAATAAATGACAGACAGCCATCTGATAGATTGATATATATATACGTAAGACTAATGACGACCAACTGTTTGATGATAACGGACATTCCTTTTGCTTTTTCTTTGTTTTGGGTGGACTTGATGGAAAAGACAAACAACAACAACAACAAAAAAAAAGAAGGAAGTGTTGGAGGTAGGTGAATAAAGGCGCGTGCATTCAATTAGGATGCAATAAATGTCAGGTTGTAATGTAATGGTACGAGGCACGTGAATGGGAGCCGTTTGATGGACGGCGACTCCTCTTCTTTTCGGTGTTATGTCGGATCCTTATTTATTTGGTCGCGGAGACAGGTTTATCGACTCTCCTCTCACTCTCTGAAGAAACAAACGTCATCGGACAAATGCAAATGTTACCATTATTATTATTATTATTATTGTTGCTTATTTACATCTCGCATTTAGAGTTCCGTAATTTTAGAAAGCACTCGGATAATTGAACGTCCTTTGTCCGAATCTATATTTGGTCCTTGTCAACAGTTTGTGTGCATTTTGCTGTGCAAGCAACGGAAGGAACGGGAACGAGAACCGGAAGCTGCTGCTGCTGCGTCTCTTCCTTCATCTTTACCTTTACCATCTTCTACTGCGAGAAGAGGAATATAAATATGACGGCGATGATGGCACATAAATACCGTGGAAATTGCACAGCGGATACTTTCTTATCGTGACCGAATGGTTGGTTGGTTTGTTGGTAGCGCGTTTCTCATTGTTGTCGATCGTTTTTCACAGCGACAATAACAAAAAAAAGTTTACATCGTCCTTACTAGCAAGGACCTGGACTCAGCTCTTCCGAAATTGCGCTAAATTATTAGCATCTCGTTGTTTCGCTGCCTCCGGCTCAGAACACAAGAGAACCGCTAGTTTAGTTTCCTAGATGCGGCACCCTCCGGGGACCAGCAGCAACTCTTCAATTTTCCACCGCCGAAAGATAATACTTCCATTTGAATAATCCAAGAGCAGTTTTTCATCCTACCTAATTCATGCCAGTAAAAGCAATTCGAAATGATCTAGTATCAAATACAGTCTTCATAAATTCACCATAACTACTTCAAGTTTTCAATTTATCTCAAGATTTTTAACATTTTATTTTCAATCTGATTAGTAAATCGTCAATATATATTTACAAAATTAGTAAATTCCAAGAAAAAATACGTTTTTTTATAATAACATTACATTTCATATTTGATGAGAATTTGTCAAATTCGTAAAACTTTTCATTGTAACAAATTGAATTTAAAATATAACAAGATTCGATGTATTTGATGATTTAAGACAGTGGTTTCCAAACTTGATGTTACTACGCCTCCCTCAAAAGTATGTAATCATTTGCGACTCCCCACCCCCCTCCATTTCATAAAAGGAACGCGTATTACAGCAATATGGATAAGAGCACAGTAATATTTCGATAC